TCTATGCATGATCAAGACAAGGGGTCTGTGTGTGCAACTGACAGTCATTCCACGAACGATAACGATGGCAGCAGATCATATAATCGCAATATCATGAAAGCTATAAGCACTAGCAGCTCTAAAGACGCCTATTCTATCTGACGAACCTTTTATAAAGGAATATTTAGTATTCTAGTTCCATTCTTTATGAGAGATTCAAACTTAGGATAATATCATCAAAATGTGACCTGTCGCCGAATGATGGCCTTGTTAAGTTAGTAAAGGACATGTTGTAGCTATTTAATACACAAGAAAACTGTTTCTTGTACTTCATGGAAAGCTCTTTAGGTAGTTCATTGCTTGTAGTGTTTCAAACCAGCACGGAGTAATGCCGACTCTTGTAACAGACGTGGATTTTCAAGAAGAAAATTTTTCCCGTTGTGCTATTCAATGTCTTGGGCTTTTCTGCCAAGGTAATTCCTCGTCCTTAGTCTTATTTGATTCCATTAAAAAATGTAGTATTATATCCGATTTATAAAGTAAATTTACCCCATTTAATGAAATTTTATTTAAATAATTGCACCATAGGCTACCAGAAACATGTTAGGTTTATCAAATGATTACTTTTTCATCGCGACAGGTTTTTCTCGGCGAGGCAGTTAACTCCTCCGCATAAAGAAGTTATATTTATTTTCCTTTGGATATATGCATCAAATTGACATGAACCCCATAATTTAGAAGTAAGAGCGTAGTGTTGTGACAGGATGTTGTACTTAGGAACACCAAAATTTTAAATTCACCATGGCTTTTTCTCTGTTGTCACGGTCGAGACTTGCTTTCAGCTTGCTATTCTCTGCGTTTTTTTGTGTACCATTTTAAAATATCAAAATGCAATTCTGGGTTGCTTAAAGATTCAGTATAATAAATCTTTTATTTTTCTTTGAAAATATTATTTATTTGGTTAAGATGAAGCTTTGGTATTGGTTTTATTATTCAGTGACGAAAGGGATAAGTCTTCCCCTAAACCGACTCCCGCGCGTCTGGCAGAATGATGACATCTTATTGTTCCTAATGGATTTCAGTGAAAGGAAAATGTTCTCGAAGATTTCAAAAACGCGACAATACAGTGAAAGATGACTCCTATAGATAGCGAGCGAGGGAATAGCTAAGAAAGAAACAGTTGTGTTATGTCGGAGGATAGCTACGTACTGTAAAATGACGAAACTTGACCCCATGGGACCAAGATGCTAATGCAGTTCTCACAGCGATAAAACACAGCATTTAAAATAAAACAAGACTGTTTAACTTCTACGATCAATTTATTAGAACTCGATACGATATTTTTCGGAACATGGCATTCGACTATAAATTTTGCTCAGAGCAACAAAGAGCGGTACATTTGTTGGTTATAATCTAAATGTACATTAGCTACTTACGGACGATTTTTACTAGGATAAGCTTCCCGAATTTGGTACTAAAGTGACAAAAAAACCCTGAAAAATAAAAGGCTTTTAACAAATACTTTTCGCGGTAGCATAATCGGGATGGACACGCTAAAAAATTAAAACAAAAAGGTGCAGACTTTATTTACTCAAGGAGTGTGCAGATAACAGAAAATGTCTCCTTATGTTTGTTTATAGGTCTTATATCGACGATTATAAATCTCCTCTGTCTTTCTGAAAGCGGACGCCTTACTTATTTTGTTAGTTAATTTGACTAAATGTTAACCCACACGTTAAACTGTTTTTTTTTTTCCCAAGAAATTCAAGTGTAATTTGTTGGAAGCGGTCGGTGCTGAGCACCGGGTTTGGATTGAACAAAAATACGCGGTATAATCGATTATATGTTTCGTGCACAAGTGGTACCTTTTAGAATGGCTTTGGTAATCCGAATACGACAGATATACGCCGTACTTGATGGCTTCAGTAACTAAAACAAGATCAATAGGCTGAATCAACTGAATGCATTTTAGTGGTGAATAAGCTCAGGTTTCATCAGATAATATGTAAAATGTCCGTTTTGAAAAAAGAAGGTAAAATACTCGGACGACTTCTTGAAACCAAGCGAGGGTTGCTTAGAATAAGAACAACACAATAGTTTGTGTTTTTGTTTTAAAAAATAGCTCAGGAGGGTCCATTTTCATCGTCTTTGACCAGTTTCTGTTTAACAATGTCCATGAAAGTGGAATAGTTCTTCCAACAGTTCCAAATTGAATCGGAAAGATACTTAATTTCACACCTCCACCAACAACACAGGGTTAGCAGCTAGGTGTAAAAAAAATAAGAATTGAGCAAATACATGTTTGAACATTCTTATGTTATGATCGTACTTTGTCGTTCACGCACAAGATAGATGTGAATATCCGTTTTATTTTCACTGTTGAACATTAGGGGCACCTGAAGTTGGTAGTTTTTTTGCCAGAAAGCAAACGATGACGGCCCCTTTATGGCGTCTTACACACCCATTGCTACGTTCGCTTTGTTTGATCCAGATGTTCATTTTCCCAGGGGATAAAACCACACTAAGATTTGCTGTAGAGAGCATTGTTTAAACTTTATGAGTTTCTCGTCAAGTTCCTATCCTGTCTTCGTCTTTTTGGCACGAAATAAGACCAGGAGACGGCGAAATTTGTTGAGATTTGAAACTTTCAATTCTGAAGTCGTGTCCTCTACTTGAAGATTTTTAAACCTGTTTTCCCACTGATGCGAATCCAATCCAAGTTTTGTACTGTTTATAAGCAACATTTTGGGGTCAAAATAAAGCTTAGTTTGCAGAAAACTGCTAAAACCCACTTAGGTGATAATTTGCGATATTTTTCCACTGGAAGTTTTTAATATACCGCCTCCACTGATTTGAAAAGGGAAAAATTTATCATTACAAACTTATTTACTATAATAAGGGTCCGTTATGACAGATCTTCACAGCGTTCCGTTTAGAACGCAGACTGAGATAAAGTTGTTGGTAAAGATTTGTGTAACTGATGAATTAAACCTACGAATTATTAGGAAGAAAACATATTGCCACTCGAAGTTCGAAAGAATTTTAAATATAGTTTAATTAAATCTTGGGCCCTTTTGGAAATCAAACCAACGAGGTTGATTAAATTGATTAATTCTACTTGTAGCGTATTTGATCAAGACTTTTTTGCTTTTATATTATAGCTCCCCGATGCGAATTAAATCTCATTTCTAATCATCGGCATGTCTACAGTTCACCTAATTTCACTGAAATAAAAATCATTCATGCAGCGAGAAAAATTGACCCATAACGCGACATATATTTGACGCAAAAATGTTGAATCCTTGAAATAATATTTTCAACCTCATGCAGGCGTATTTACACACACGCAAAATTGGCCGCATTCTTGTTCACTTTATGATCATAATAATAAAGCTTAACTCTTTATTCTCCATAAAGACAACAACGGCAACATGACAAAACAGCATCTTTAAAAAAAGATTGTTAATTACGTTTTTCCTACTGTCAAAGGTTTTTATTGAAGATGGCCGGTTCGTACTTTTCCCCCGGAAGTGAAAGCTATTAATTAAGGCTTTAAAGGTGTCTCTTTGCTTGACACTCTAGAAGGACTCATCACATAATCTACAGGTGAAAAGCAACTCTATTCAAAGCGGTTGATTTTTTAACACTTTATTTTATTATTTCCAAAACAAAATAATAACAAAACCATTTGTTAAAAAATTGAGAATTGAATTTATCAGTGCATTGCAAACGTGTTGTAGGTTAAATGTGTTAGAATGCGTCATCTCAAGAAACATTTAGAACACTTAATAATATGCAATTTAGTCTGGAAAACTGCCGCAAAACGACAATTTAAACGCCTCAGTGGATTTAAACACAGTGTATTGTTTGCAAAAAGAGATTAATAATAACGCAATGTTTACCTGCAGCCATTGGGGTGTACAGGTGCTTAGAACACGAAAATCGCCCTTTTTGACTCAGGGTGAAAAAAAAAATCTCTATCAACTCAATTTGCGTGGTAAGTCTCTGTTACAGCATCAACTACCAAAAATAATCTGAATCTGCAAGTAAATAATATTATAGGTCATGCATTTAATTAAACATCTTAAATCTGTGAAACTTCCAGACTTTTAAAACTTATTTGAAATTGATTTTCGTAACTCTAAGATGGAAAAAATCCTACATAGATGGCATTGAAACGATTACCACGGGTCTTGGTCGCCCTTTTTATGAGGCGAGGTCAACGTATGTATTAATCCTAGGCGGACAAAAACTTAGTTATAACTAACTAATTGAATTAAGCCATGAAAACCGAATTACACTAAAAAAAAAAAAAGCAAACAAACAAAGGTCTGTTTAAAACCTTTTTTTGGAAGAAATGTCATTAACAGTAAACAATTTAAGAAGGCTGAGAACAATTTTTTTGTCAACCTTAAGTAACCTTCTCATAGAAGAAAACAGCAAAAAATAAATTAAAACAGTTTACAGGTTTTGTTCGTTTTCGTCACGAAAAAAAGTAAACTAAAGAAAACGGTTTTAAAGAGAAGAAAAAAAAAAAAAACTCGGTGTTTACAGTAAGGCTGCCATAAGACAAGAGTATAAAAAATTATACTCATTTTCAAGAACAATTCGTCAGTAGTCGGAATAGTTAAGATAGGTTAACAAAGACCTATTCCCTTCAGTGCCATATTAACATGCTAATTTTCCATCGCTGAGAAAACTGTTTGTAAAATGACTTCCGAGCAGTTTAAGGGGGCCGCGTGTTAGAGATTGGCTAGTGAAGGGCATTAGGGCTTTGTTTATTCTTAAACTCCTTCAGGATTGCGCGCAGAAACGAGAGGCGTAGAAATCTAATATAAAGAAAGACTCATTTCCTTTCCATAGGGGTTATTCAGTCGGTCAATTAATTATTTTAATCCGGTCATTGATAATCTCCATTAAAACAATTTAAGGCAAAATCACGTGATCATATGTGGGCACTTCTTAAGTAGCACCACCTTCTGATTTTGCTTTCAGTTAGTTGAGCCACACACGGAGTCGACATGCAGACGACCAAGTCTTCAACCTTCTCAGTAGAATCGCTTATATCCAAGGAGAGCTTCGAGCCAAGAGTGGACGCTCACAGCTGCATAGCGCTGCCGAGATGCTCGCTAGGACCCGAAAGGACACGAACCTCGCCCAGTTTTACAAACTCCATAACCATTCCTCGGCCTCTGGCGCTGGAAGGCGTTTCTGCGGGCCACACAAGCGCATTTTCACAAACTTCTCAATCTCCTCTTTCCAGTGGAAGAACATTTGCAATCCCGCCGCGTGCTTCAGAGCATCATCAAGGTATTTTACTAATTTTCAATGTCAAGCCATATGTAAATTCGTGTTGATTCCTAGTCTTTTACAGATTGAGCGAAAAAATAAGCCTAAAAAAAGTAACTTTTCTAAATATTCAATCACAGCCCTTAACATTTTGAAACTTGCTGTTGTCTTCCTCTCAGAATTTTGAACAACTCTTTAATTTTTTCCACGGAAAATTAGTTGTTAACTGGATTACACTGCGTAATTTTCTTGTTTGCTTGCGCAACCTCCCAAACGACCTTAAGACAACTTCGATTCCGAAACAATTTAAATGTGGCGGGCCTCTAAATATTCTTCTAGAAAAATAGAGACATCTTTGTCTACAGATGTGGGAAGCCGCATGTTTTTAAACATAGGTCATACAGGAACTCGTAAAAGAGCCTTCCTGCCGTAACCCACCGCTTTCGGAATTGAAAGAAAAATATATCAGAGGAAAGGAAGTGTTTAGGAAATATTGTACAAATATTTCGTCTTGAAAAATCGTGATTCTTTCAAAAGGAACTGAATAAGACAGCATTAGATAAGGAACTCTGCATCCAACGTAACAACTTTTTTATGCTATTTTCTTGCTCACATTACATGACTTCGCCCTGAGTGATTAAAAAGAATACCAAGGCCATCTATGTAAAATCTTGTCGGTATTTTAGTAAGTTTCTCATATAGCGCGGGAAGCAAAATTCGTGCATGAGAACTACAGCTATATCGAGTAGTTTCATTTTTGCGGTTGTCAATTATTTTTGATTTTGGTTTAAGAGTCTACAGTTACGCAGAATCAATAGTGAGATCTACGTTCTTCTTTGATAATAAATTATCATTAATACTTCAGGGTTTTATAGACGAAACACTAAATTACATCTGGTGCCTCCTTAGATAAAAACTTTTTTAAAATTATAATAGAAATTTCCAATTTTGGAAAAGAAATAGTAAAACAAAAAGGAGAAGCATTTAGAGACCCACCCAGTTAGAACTTTCCTTTAGTAAGAGTAAAGCGATGTTTCATATACAAGATAGTAAATAGGAAAAGCGTTAAATTTCCTATTCTTTCAATGAAAGAGCACTGAATTTTAGATATTAGTATTAACTGAGAGGAAATTATTTGCAGCTTGATGAAAGGCGGTCAAACCGCGAGTCAAGAGCTTTTACTACACTCTTTTCTTTTATAAGATTGTTGTTTTCCCGGCCCAGGCTGAATATTCTTATTTTTCTGCCGATTTTAAGACCGAACATATTCTTGTATTATTCTTAAATTGTAGCCTCTTAGCTGACTCTTCCGTTTTAGAATGAACGGGGTTTAATAATAAATTACAATAAATTTATAATTTATAATAAATTGCAGTTAATGGCAATCTGACACGTTTTTCTTTTTGGTGGCTGGTTTTGCCGTCAAGAGAAAGGAATAATTTCACGGTTAAGTTACAAACATATAATTGTATTGTATTAACAGATTTTCAACACACAAAATTATATCCTTCTCAGCCTTGGGTTTATTCTTATCATATTCTTACGATTTTGCAAATTTCAGCCTCGATATTCTTATAAAATATATTCTTAGAGGAAAAAAAGAGTGTATGTACCTACCAAACTGCCTTTGAGCCAAACCACTGAATAACCAACCGAAGACTTGCTCACTAATTTCACAGTAGAGCTCCTTGTACAGGAAGTAAGCTCAGCTTATTGCATTAGATTTTATAGACTATGGTTCGAAAAGCGGAAGTTGATTGTAAGTGTGAATCTATTAACAAGGAACTTGACAGTGTAAATCAGCTATGGGTGCGGTTCGGTTTACCCTAAATCAATCAAACTACATTTTGACTTTAAGTCTACTCTAGGTTAGACTTAAGCCTTTTTGCCCATTATACACATGTATCAAGGTAATTTTTTTGGTAATGTTTCGAATCTTTTCTGAAGACACGGTTTACATTGTGCTTCAGTAGGATACAAATTCACATGAATATAAATTTACAATAAAAATGTCTCGTATTAAATAATAACTAACTTCAAAGTCAAAAAAGCTTTGCTAACGTTTGCAGTCTGTACACTTTTGCGCTCGTTGCATGCAAAACCTAGCATCAAGTCACAATGATCTCATTTTGTACTTTATCTTAACTGTACACTGCACAAATTTGTTCTGATTTTACAAAGTAAACTTTAGGTATAAAGCTAACCAATCAGTGTTTTCCCTCTGAGGCATTTTCCCTATTTTCTTTCATTCTAGTTTTTTCAACTGTAGGGTTGAAAGTAAACGTTTGAGAGATCAAATTTCTTAATAAACATTGGTATAAATGTCAAGTTAACATAGTTGAAGGATGAAATTAACAATTTCAGCAGGCTTCACAGTCCTTTTGAGTTATAGAGTCAGGAGCGTATGACATATAGAGTCCATTAAACTTCATTCACAGTAGTTTGTCAAAAGTTTTAGTACCGAAATTCTTAAGAGAGGCTTTCTAAAACATTTGTAGAGTGGACTTCTCTATCTGATGATATACTACAAATCTTGGCTGTTCATAGAGAAGACAAGTGATGACGTCACAAAAACTAAATTTGTGAAATTATGGGAAAGGTTGGCATATCCAGAAGGAGAAAAAGGCCTCTGCTAACAGGGAACCAAAAATCAGCCTGTTGGTGCAAATTGGATATAAGCATAAGCAACGTTAAGCTCAGATGACTCCATATAAATCCTTCCAAATAGGCCGGCTGGATCGATCGTAAACGTTTCGATCCAAGCCAATTTCAGAATTAGGATTTGCATGGAGTCTTCAGAAAATAAAGGTACTTACATCTCCCCGCCAATTTGCATATGAGGCTGATTTATGGCAAGGGGGCATTTTTCATCTTGTTTTCTGAATATGCCATCCAATCCCATAATTTTCACATTTCTTTTTTTTTATTGTAATCGATTTAACCTTTACTTTTTCTCCCTATCTCTTTAGATTCTCACCGCAATGATGACTCAACAAGAACTCGCCGCTACAGAACAGCATTCACAAGAGAGCAGTTGAGCAGACTAGAGAAAGAATTTCTCAGAGAAAACTATGTCTCACGTACGCGCAGAAGTGAGCTGGCGTCAACCCTGAACTTGTCAGAAACAACCATCAAAATATGGTTCCAAAACAGACGTATGAAGTCAAAGAGACGGCGTATGGCCCTAGGGCTGAAGCCTGTTCAAGCTTTTTGCCCCACTAGGCATTTGCCCTCCGAAGGGCACCTCAATTCGGGCCATCTTTATAATGGCCTTCATTATGTACCCTGGTCGCCATATTCACCTGTCAGTGGTCCTTTGTGGTCTCATGGAGTTCACTTTGTGCACTGTGATCCGCATTATCACCCCTTTTCTGTGCCACCATCCGGGAATAATGTGACGTCCAGCTACAGAACGCCAAGCACACAGGGAAACTGCTCTCATAGCTGGAAAGGCAGTGATTAGGCTGCCCTTAATACTTTTTCAGAACGATAGTAAGACCCTTTTCCGTTTTCTTTTTCGACTTTTGATAAAGAGCCGTAAGCCATTATCCATCGACACATCTGGAAAGAGGGCCTTAACATGGGGAAACTTACCAAGTTTAACCCTTTAAGCCCTAAGAGTGATCAGCATCAAATTTCTCCTTGTAATATCAATGCTTTGTAGAACAGAGTGGTCATGAGAATTAAGGACATGATCACACAAGATGAATGTGCTTGATATATTTATCAACTTCTCCCCACTACTTCTATAGGAAATGAATAGGGGAACAAATGAGAATTCAAATTTTGATCTTGGGGTTTAAAGGGTTAAAGGTTATACTTCCAAAGAGAGGGAAGATATTGCTCCACTCAAAGTCGAGAAATTTTACAGGCGTTTGTATGGTGGGAGGCAAGAACTTGCCACCCCCCCCCAATTAACAACTGTTAAATACCACGACCTTGCGGAGCTACATCTGCGTTAGTTTTCAACAAATCGCTTTCCTAATTGGCAGCTTCACTGATCACAACGCCTTCTTTCCAGTGGTGTTGACTGATTTTTCGCTAACTGGTCGCAGGCAAAAGTCGAAATAAACTGTGAAAGGATCTACCAATGTTGAAACAAGAGGATTCTTTACAATCTTTGTTTGCAAAGAGAAGCACAAAGATCCCATTTCAAAGAAAATACTACAGGATAATACTATTTACCCAAATATACTTTTTGAGTTACCAAGGTCTATGCCTATTTTCTCTTTTTCTGAACTGTAAGTAAAGAAAAATTAATACACATATTACTTTTACTTAGAGGCAACATTGTTTTTACGCTTCAGATGTGACAAAACAAATGCGTTAATGAACTTCATATAACCATGACAATTACTGATCATTATCAAAATTACATTAATCGTACTAATAAATAACAATTATTCACCGAAGTGGAGGAGGCTAGTGGTGGTTATTTACCGAGGTTCGGAGGAACTGGAGGAGAATCAGTGGATAGTGCAGGATAGTCACTGATTGAGTAGCCAATCAGAGCGCGCGAAAAACACTATCCACTGTTTTAGTATATACTAAATGTAAAAAACAATCTACTGTGTATAGCTTGTTATGTAACTGAAAACATAATGTTGCATTATTTTCCTGATGCATGTTACTGTATCATATTGAAATGAATTTACTTAAAGTAAAAGTTATTCCTTCTTTGATAGAAATCGAGCAAACGAGTTTTCGTTATTCTTAACTCTTCCGTTAAGCGATATGTGGCCTTTCATCTCACCGTGCAGTACGGGAAGTTTACTCTAATATATTATTTTAAGAAACGAAACAAGTTATTCTTGCAGCTATATACCTGTTGTGTGTCTTATAGTATTGAACCTTATAAATCATTTTCTACTTTTCGTCTGAAGCTTCGATGATTGAACACAGCAGTATATTTCTATCGTTTGGTAGGTTCTTCATATATGATTCCTATAGAGTACCGAGATATAGATTCTTATAGTGTACAGCGTCTTAAAGTGTACCGTTTCCTAGGCGAACATTTTTAATTTCTTGATGATGCTAACAAAAGGTAGCCTCTTTCTTCTTTCCATCATTTGGTGCGCGCTTCCTTTCTCCTCTTCCCAGGCTACGCCAAGCGCAACTAAAGAAATGGTCTCGTCATCCGTCAAACGATCTAAAATTTAACCGTCAACCGTTAAAATCGGTTATTTTTTACCGTTAACCGTCAAAAATGCAGATTGATATTAAGCGTCAAAAAGTGTCAAGGCATTTCAATCTTGCTTGTTTTAGTATTTCAGCGGATCGCTACCACCCCCCAAATGCCACTTAAAAAAACATCTTATCTTATCGAGACCCTTCTTAAGAGACCTCTGCGAATCTGAAAGAAAATTTTATGGAAAGCTTCAAACATTCTCGAGTCTTGTAAAATCTTCTAGAACGGAATATACTTTCAAGGATTACAATAAAAGACATATGAACAGTTTTTATCACTTTTCTACAATGACCGTATCATTTCGCGTTCAAAGCGGCATGTTCTTTTTGTTTAAAACAAAACTGAATTTATTTAAACCCGAACAGGACCGAAAATCACACGAATCAAGACCTGATAGATGATTAAATTTATCTATACTGAACATGATAGGTGACTTATATCAATAGAGAAAACAAAAAAAAAATCTGACACACGTGGGAAAATTAGAAAAATGTGATGCTGTCATTGATCCAGTAAAAACTAGGAAAACACATTCAGTTCGTTATTGTGTTAGCTACAAATTAAATTTGCCACTGGCAAGACACCTTATTCATACCGGTTAAATTTAGAGAAAAAATTCAGAGTGCAAATAATTATCTTTCTGTGATCATGCCACAATTAAGGTTCTTGTAGCTATACACCTGAAAGCATATAAGGGATGCATATCTGTATAAGAACAGCTAAAAATCGCAAATGATGGACCTATATAATATATTGAGCCTGATAAGTAGCTGGTTTTAAATTCTTTTGTCCATTGAGAAAACGTTAGATTTGCGACAGTTACCACGATGGTAATTCTTGATATCTATTTTAGTCTTGGACAAGGTATGTGGCACGAAAGATGTTCAAACACAGGAGCAGAGCACACCCCATTCGAGCCCTCCTCATTGGAGCCAGATATAGAGCAATTCTACAACATTCGAGCACTTAATAGCTGTCACAAAAGAAGTATCATCGACTGAGTTTACGAAGTACATTGGCCACCATAGAGAATAAGCCACCCTTCACCCTTGACAAAAAGCTGGCGCTGACCTTTGTCACTTTATTTGAGCACTTTTATGTTTACTGCATCTTTGATAAAACCAATTTTCTCACTGTTTCATTTCGCCGCCAACGCAACGGCACAGCTTCTTTAGAAATTAACCCCCTTAATCAATAAGTATACCAGATAACCAACGTTCTACAAAGGCAATTCACCATTGTATCTAGAATATTAACTTTGAGTCTTGTGATAAGAATACTGGATTCAAGAGCAAACATACGAATATATTAATGTAGACTACTGATAATACGTTCTGTGGCATGCGGTTATGTTGTGCAAGGTGGTTTTTACTTTTGAGTCTGTGGATGAAATTGTAAAGTATTACAATTGAAATGAAAGCTACTGAGCAATACTTTCTTGCGGTGCTGTTTATTACGCTGTACAAGGTGGTTCTAACTTTTGGTTCTGTGAATAAAGTTCTTTAAGGGGTGTGACCATTCAAATGACAAAACTGCTGAGTAGTATTTTCCTGTGGTGCTGTTTATTATGCTCTGCAAGGTTGTTCTAGCTTTTGAGTCTGTGGATGAAATCCTAAACTGTGACCATTCAAATGAAAGATACTGGGCCTTTCCTGTGGTACCGTTTATTACGCTCTTCAAGGTTGTTCTCGCTTTTGAGTCTGTGAATGAAATCCTTACGTGTGACCATTTAAATGAAAGCTGCTGAGCAGTACTTTCCTGTGGTACTGTTTATTATGCTCCACAAGCCGAGGTGGTTTTAAGTGTAAGGATACAAAAACTCAAATGTTAGTTTTTAACAAGAAAGGTTATTGAATCTCCATTCCCTTCAGTCCTGTATTGTATCCTAGTGTTTCATACATTATTCCCTCACAACGTGGCCAGTAGTTTTGGTGTTTGCATCCTAGAAGATTTTTCAACCATCGCATATACATTTGTCCCTTAATGTCATGTAAGGGAAATATAGTTCCACCTTTTAGAAAGCCTGCATGAATTATGAGATAATTTGAAATAGCAGAAAGTTCCCTCAAAAGACTTCAACTGAAATAACTTGAGATACAACGAACTGCTGGAAAAGTTCAAGGTAATAATGACTGATGTGACCAAACCTTTTGTAGCGCAAAATTTATAAAACTAACACTCGATCCAAGAAGAATTAAACCTTACATCTCCTAATTAAATGCATCACTGAAACCGAAGCAATTTTTTTAGAAATGAAAAATAAATAAGTGGTTTAAGTAAATAACTCAAAAATACCCAGAAGAATTAGGCGGATCAAGGTGTTCATATTAATCTGACAAGACAACAGTTGATACGACAAACGTAGTGGTGAGTTGGGAAATAGACAGATATTTGCTCATATATTTACACCTATGTATGGCCGGATACAGGCTTTTATTCACAAAAAAAAAAACAGGACGACACCATCGGGAATAGGCAGACCAATTTTAAAGGAAGTAAAAATTAAATAACCGAGATGATCACATTCATTTCAAGAACTGACAGGTAGGACAAATTAAACCTACTTAGAATCAAAGTTTTCGTGTCTCCTGACGCGATAATTTATTGTTATTATCTTCTTTATAATTTTTATTTAGCCGAAATAACTAATACAGTCAACTGTAGCCATAGTCTCTGCATGCCTTGTGGGCGGTTTGTGGTTTAAAAAACTTTAAGCGACGTTGGGCTCGCCAGAGCGGCTCTTCCTGGAGTTTGTGCTCCAAATAGTCGCTTCTTTATTCACAAGTTGTAGAAACCTGCATTTAGAGAATTTTTTAATTAACAGGAGAAGAGCTCATCAGTTTTAGAAAAATCCCTATGCCAAAATAAAAATTAACATTTTCATTAAATCAAAGAGAGGCATCTTTGGAACATCGTTCTATCATCCATTAGGAAGATCACCCTTCTAGTACTACGGCTTAAAGACAATTAAACGAAATAAATTTTTATAATTAACCTTAAATCACTCACCTTTAAAGGTGTTTTTTTTCCATTTCAGCGCATTACACATGCGCAATAAAGGTAAAAATGGATAATGATGTCCAAAGAGCGACTTAAAGTCGTTAACTAAAAGAAAAACGCCTCTGCAATATCTCATTACCGGGTATATATGATCGTTAAAGGATCTTTAAAAACAACAATTACACGCCTACTTCATCCGGAAACTTAGGGGGTAAATTGTCTTAGTTTTACCACCCTTTTTCTTTAGAATCGCCCGATAAAAATGTTAGATTTTTGTTTTTCTGTCGACAAAATAGAGTATGCTCGTTGCCTTTTTAATTTTGTTAAGGTTTAGTACTAAAGAAAAGTTGAAATTTAATGAAAAAATTCAAGTTTCAATTGTAATAAAGAAAAAAGAAGTAAATTACTTTAAAAGCAGGCAAATGGTTATAATTGCAAGAAATGCGAATAATATATTAACAAATAATCTATGATTGATTTGACCGAAAATAAACGTCTGGTCTCTCCTGCTCCAACGGCTATGTTGTAATTACAGCTCTACAAATTTTCCTTATTTGCGAAGATATAACTTAAATGTTAGTGAAATGAAACTATAAAATTTTGGAGGCAATTGACTGACTTAGAATTTTCTTATTGTTATTCAGTTTTCCGTAAACCAGTGGCTCTGTTTCTGTTTCTTTTTCTTTTATTTTACATTTCATCCTCATTTCCACAGAAGCTGCCAAAGGAAACAATCTATAAAGGACACAATTTACTGTTTTTTTAATTTATACGGCACAAGTAAAGCTTAGGCATATGGTTTGTAAATAAAGTGTTTTTACTAACGCAACCAGCATCTCTGCAAATTTATTGGAACAAAAGGAAACGTTGACATAGGAAAAGAGTTCAACTCCCACAGGACTGGTTTAAGAACGACACCAATATGGCCGACGTGACGTCAAGTAAAAACACTCTATGGAGACAAAACATACAAAGCGGGTCTTTTTTTACGACCTTTTTTGGATCCTACCTGCTATTTGAAATTATTTCTTAGATTGTCTCGGAAGCCAACTTTAAGTCAGGTCTACTGATTGTAACGATTCAACACTTATGAAAGCGCGATAGCAGGACTTGCTTCTAACACTATGTACTGCGGTATAGCAGCCGTGCGGTAGAGAGTGAGTAGCTTTGTTTTCATTTTGCCAACGAAATGAGCTGCAGCCGAGAGACAGTCACCAACATCATTGAGCTATTATAAGCAAAACAAGACAATTTATAAGCACTGCAATTAATATCTATAACCTCGGAAAAAATTCTTGAGACAGTTCCGATTTCGTCTTGCGATATACTATAATGTGATCAAACTAGAACAAAGTCGCCCCCTCCCCACCCCCCATTTAATGTTGTTGGAAGAGGGGAGACGTCGGTGGAGGATGGCATTTATTTAGTGATAGGTTTATTTCGTAAGGGTGAAAGGAAAAAAGTACGTATCTTTCAAAGTTGGTTCTCCAAGAATTTTGACCGAATTTGTAGTTAGAAATATTATAATTGCATTTAAAAAGGTTCTCCCCCATCAAAAATGTGGCATGATACGTGGGACGTACGTCACAAATAGTTAAATAGCCATGCCCCCTCACCGTTCAAAGCTCAAACTCCCGGCTTTCTTTCGGGAAAATTCAGTACTTAAAACAAAGCAGCAAAACCTGATCTTTATAGCATAGCTAGGGACCAGGCACCTAACCGCTTAACGCTCGTGTTACGTTTTGAAAAGGGGTTAAAACTCCCTTTCCCTTCCCTTTCAAACGCCTGCCACGCAGGCTAGGATTAGCCCAGGGGTCTAGGCCCGAGGGGGGGGGACTTAACAAATGCTTATACGGGGAAGCTCTGCCCCAAGGTCCAACCCCTTACTCTTTAATATGCCAATTTTCACGAAAAAGGTACCCCTTTCGTATACCTTCTATTGAAAAATGGCACCCCTTTCACATACCTTGTTTACAACTTTGCATCCCTTTTAACTGCTGTAAATGCATCGTCTTTTAAATAGGAATCAATCACAAAAATAGAACGTTTTCTCGACTTTATAAAGCCATAAAATTTATTTGTTAGTCCTGTGGGCCTATTTAAAGACCCAAATGACAGATTTCCCTACCCTTTTATACTTCAACTGGTGAAACCCATACCCTTTCATATACCTGAAGCCTGAAAAGGGTACCCCTTTCGGGCGGAGCCTCCCCGTATAGGCCATCATAGGGAGTATCCCCCGGGGTAAAGGTTGCTGTTAAGGTTGGCTTTTCGAGGAAGGGGGAGGTGGGGATGGAGGGGGTGGGGGGAGATGAAGCGAATCCTGTGTTCTGATTGGCTACCCGTGCGCGTGCATGATGGACCTATCATGCTCGCTCGGGATCGCCCGCTTTGTCCCTTTATTGAACAAGCTTGTTCGGTCAAGATAGCTTCGGGGTGTTGGCAATCTTGACACGCATATGTTTTGCCTTTTCTGTGTAAATTTTGTTTCAGCCAGGTGAGTGTGATTTTTCCGAAGTAAGAAGTTTCAACTGGCCTTACTCTTATACTAAGGGCTGTCGTGCACTAAAAACCCATGAACCATCCAAGTGGTACAACACACATCTGACTTTCCTGTTTTTCCAAATTTACCCAAACATTGTTTTTCCTTGATTTCCTGATCACATTTTTTTGCGTGTAAATTATCCTGAGGAACGCCTCTTTGACAGCTTGTTTTCACCCCAAAACAGACCTCACCCTGGTGCCCATCTCTGTTGACAGTTCACAGGTTTTTAACAGTTATTCAAAACAAGCCCCGCAGTTCATCCGTTTTACTTATTTATTTAATTAGTATCATCGACTCTCTGTGTGGGTCCAATCGAGTATGAGGAGCTGCAATTGTCATCGGTAAACAGGACATGCAATCCTTTATTGCTACCATGCAATAACGAAATATGCACTTGTGTCAATTATAAAAAATATATAAATATATTTTAGAACATCGCTAATGCTGTTAGTACCATTTATCGCTTATGCTACAAGTGACCGCCAACCAAAATTCGTGAAAAAAGAATTTCTACGTTTTATCACCTATCTGCCGACTGTTAGCGGATAATCCGATTACTTAAATGGAACAAAAAGGATTGACTTGATGGCTTTGGACAATTGTACTTTTATTTCGGAAAAAGATAGCTCTTTTTGTAAAATCTTTTTAAATAGACAATGATACTAAAATTTCAAGTATAACATATGAGAGGGCGCAAGATGAAATTTAACGTTTTAGTGTTAATTTTTGATACATCTTTACCTATAACTTTCGTATCGCTAAACACATGTGTAAACTGGGATGCCAGATCGAGAGAAATGAAACGATCGAATTTCCTCATTTTGAATTACCTAATTACCTTGTGCTGCATTTCCGTTCCCTTTCAAAAATTAAGTAGCTTTGTCCTCGTGATTTTTTCCACTTTTATCGTTAACAATTACTGATTACCCTTTGTGCGGGGTTTGTCAACGGCCTACGAAAAAATCTAATACTGAGCGTCGAGTGTATCTATAATTCAGTTGGTAACAATATATATTTGGAAGAAAATTACAAATATCTTTCTGGAAAAGATGTTAAACAATGTAAGAAATTGCTTAGTAGCAGCTGTCGTTGGCTTGGCCTTCAGGCGTTCAGATTGGCGGAAGTAAGCGAAATTTGCCCTATTCGTGCGTCATTTGGCAACAGCCACGCTTAGCTGACACTTGAGTTGTCGAACTTATTTTAGCAAAATAAAAATAGTCTGCTTATTAACTTCAATTTGAATGGATGACTTTGAAAGTGGGCTCTTTGGCCCCATATCCGGACAATGTTCTTTATCTCTGCGGCAGGGCTCGTGTCGATAAAGCTCCAACCATTTGTTTGTTACCTAATATTCAATAGCTTGTGGTACAGGACGGGGGATCAAACAATTGTCCTCATCACGCCAGTGGTCGGATCTCTTTAATCCCTTAATAAAATAAAGAAAATACCTCTTGGGAAGTACAAGAAAGCACAGAGGATGAAACTGTACAGAGATAATCCAGTTAAACATTACCTTTGTTACTACAGTTGTACAGTCGCAAGATATGACGAAATGTACCATCCAACTTACATCGACGCTGATACGACAAAAATGCTGAAGAATCGCCTTTGAACAAGGAGCATTATATTTTCAAAATGGCAAAGTACAGTACACACGGTTTTAATTAGAGTTTAATTAAATTACCGTCATCACGAAATAAGCCTTGGCTTTTTGCAAGTTTTAAAAGCGCTTTCTTTAATCCTTCAAAGATGTTATGCGAAAAAAAGTTCATCGATTGTACAACGGCAACTTGTGTCTTCATAAGGGCACAATTTTTAACTTCAATTATTCTAAGCTTACTAAACAATTCTGTCAAAAACCATTGTCTGTTAAATCCAGTATATTGCCGGATCATTGGCCACGGGTTTCATCAAAATTGTTTATTAAATATCCCTTTCCACATACAAATCCATATACAAATTTTCCAGATTGGACTTCATACTTTTCCTAAGAATTAGCGCGATAATTTCATAGCAGGTCAAAGCATTTGCTCTCAGTTTGATCATCAATTTATTGGACTAGGTATGGATATTATTAGGAGAAAATTGATGCTGGTCACCATTAACAGTAGTAGGACACACTTAGTGGAAATGACTGAAAGCGTCGAAGCACAGCAATGCTTAGTGAAAGGAATTTTTAGAAAATTTACTGGTATGAAAACGGAAAGGTTTCGACATGTGTTTCTAATTGAGGTCAAGATATCCCTCATTAAATTGATAAGAAAATCTCTTTATGCCCAATGAGAAGTGTCTTATCAGGGCTCTCTAACTCTCATAACAGAGAGGAACAATTCGTGATCCTTTAAACAACTAATTTGATTTCTGAAATCACGTGATTTTATTTAAAAAAGCATGAAGGTACGCATAAAAATGCGTGGAAAAAATTGGCTATTCTCGCCGGCGAAATTTCGTTTCTTCAATTGAAAGTTCTTCTTGGTGTCGAGATCAACATGGATTATTCTCAGTTCTAGACAAATGGTGCATTTTCTTTTGCACGATTTTAAAAATTAGTACCATGTAAAAGAGGTACTGTATTAATTTGAATTGGCACACCGCTTTGATAATTCGTTTCACACTTAGTTGGGGAGCCAATTAGCCTATCTCCAAGAGAGCAAGCCCATTTCTCTCCAGGGAAATCCGAAGCTTTTTTAAAAAGATCGGCAATATTCAAGTGACATTTACCAGTCGACCAAACTCATATTCAATGTACTTTTTCATTCCGCTGATGAAAATACCTTCGCCATTTACAGTGTTGTTAGATATAGCTGATATTGCTATTTTAAAGTTTCCAAACAATGACAGGAAATAGAATATAATCGCAGACCATCTTTATGAAGATGTCATCAACCATCATTATTGTGTTACATTCCCTAGTTCTAATCTTCTTTTGCGGTTTTCAATTAGAGTCATCACTTAAGAGATTGTTCCACTGCAAAGGGCGGATTAAGACCTGTTAATTCAGTCTTTTTTTCGTCCATTTTCTCTAAAAGATGGGCACAATCAAAATTGAAGGAAAATGTCAGATAATAAAAAGTACCGTGTGAAAGAAGCTGCCAATGAAGTTTCATTTAAAAAAAGGCTATTCACATTATGGTTTTAGCTTAAGGCTCAAAAAATACATGTGTCCTTGATTGATCCAGGGGCACAAGCCGGGGGTACAAGCTGATTTTATGACTTTGTACTGCCACAATGTTGATATTACAAATGAGAATTCCATACGAGCGCGATTCAACTTTCATCAGTACTGTAGGTCAAATATATTAGAAAACAGTCAGGGTTAATTTATAAATCCAGTTTGTAATGAATTCCTCTCATGCTCAGCTCATTGATCGTATCCAGTTGCGCGATATCTATACTGATAATCTTGAATGCTGCAATTTGAAGATGGCTTCGATTTGAATGCAATATGTTTGTTTACCAAAGAATGATGTTTCGTGTAACACGTTGTTCCTTAGAAGGACGACTGTCCTTTGTCCAACTCTGTCCCAGTTAGTCATATCAGAAAAAAATCATCGATGTTTATTTTAGCAACATATGCGATAACGTACTTGACACATAGTTAACGCTAACTACTATAGAACCATTTCGGTTACGTGGAAATACTTCATCTCTTTATACTTTATTCTTCGAGAGACCATACAAATGTAGGAGCAAGTGCTCACATTGTCATTCCGTGTCTTTCACTGAAAATTAAATTAATCGGTGAGCAGTCAAATCTGACCCCTTCTTACCCTTGAGTGCAAGGTTTCAGACACTTCTCGGGACCCTTGTTAAGTGATACCGTCTCGGAATTTAATTAGTGTCAGAGGAAGGACTTTATCGCATGAATACGTCTTTCTCGTATTATAAGCATTTCACGGCACGGGCCGACACTGTCGATTTCTCTCTCTTGGTTTTCAGCTTTTAAAGGGGGTATAGACCGTTTGAAGGTGCAAACGAAACTCATTTGTTCGACACACCATTGCCAAGTACTCAAGAAGGTAAGCAAAGTTGACGTTATGACGTTGAATGGTGGATGTTCAATTAGGTATTAGAGAAAGAACGTAGTAGCACTGTTCGTGATCTCGCTAGCTGAAAACTTAAGCTCATAAAGGCGAACCATATATCAACACTTTTCGCTGTTTTTTGAATAGTTTAAGAACAGCAATGAGTAACTGTAATCCTTTGCCAGTTGTAGTTCTCATAATGGCTGGTATTAGCGGTCTTCAAGAGATTTATACTGAAGAACAGAATAAGAGAAATCGCTAGGGACTCTTTGGAGTCACCGTTTACGTCTCAAAATTGGAGCATTTCATATCAAAAGTGATGCTGTTAGTGTTAGTGTGCTGTTGTTTAAGGTTTTAACTCAAGTAGCCTACTTTGAGAGTTATTTCTGTGCAAAAAAATCAGTTCAATAAATATGCAACCATGTTCTTTGTCGCCGCGATCACACCCTAGAACGGCCTCGAAAAATTCCAAGCAAAATCATATCTTAAATTACATTTTTATTTAACCGCAAAATCCGCTCAGTAGCTTATTGATTAAAATGAGATTTCATCCGCAAGGTCATAAGTTAGAGACATGGTGTACGGAACCTTGAACGACACGACAGAGATGTAGCGCTAGGAATCCTCTAGTTGAAATGCCCCACTTAAAAGACTGCACTTTCAAATCCCTTAGTAAAACAATGATGTTCAGAATAATGATTGCTCATATTCGAAACAACAGATGCTGTTGCTGCTACTTTTTACACATTGAATATATCTAGCTATTACTGCTTGGAGGTTTTCGCTTCATTAATTTCATAATATTTCACGGACAGACTCTAAAGCTAGAACTATCTTAACTTGAACTACCTTGTACAGCATAATAAACAGAACCACAGGAAAGTACTGCTCAGTAGCTTTCATTTGAATGGTCACACTTTAGGATTTCATCCACAGACTCAAAAGTTAGAACTACCTTGTACAGCATAATAAACAGTACCACAGGAAAGTACTGCTCAGTAGCTTTCATTTGAATGGTAACAGTTTACGATTTCATCCACAGACTCAAAAGTTAGAACTACCTTGTACAGCATAATAAACGGTATCACAGGAAAGTACTGCTCAGTAACTCTCATTTGAATGGTCACACTTTAGGATTTCACCCACAGACTCAAAAGTTAGAACTACCTTGTACAGCATAATAAACAGTACCACAGGAAAGTTCTGCTCAGTAGCTTTCATTTGAATGGTCACACTTTACGATTTCATCCACAGACTCAAAAGTTAGAACTACCTTGTACAGTACAATAGACAGGTACCATAGGAAAGTATTGCTCGATCAGTAGCTTTATTTCAATGGTCACACCGAGTATTTCATCCAAAACCTCAAAGTTTAGGACCAAATTACCAAGCCTTACAGGAAAGTACCGCTCGGAGTAGTTTGAGCGGTAACTCACGTGTAGCTCTAAAGCATTTCATCCACAGACTGAAAGTGATTCCTTAGCTGTACAACATAAAAAAGAATCACAGTGAAGTCCCAACCAGTTGCTTTTATATCATAATGGTCAGAGATTTTTCTGAAACATCTTTGGTCCTTAGTTCTTATGTTGTTTGTTAAAAAAAGTAAGTCAAAAAAAACAGAAAAAATAGAAAAATCAAATGAAGTCTAGCAGGGCTAGTGAACTCGTACTTAACTGGCGTATTGCTGTGCTTAGGTACTCAAGATAGGAAGGCGGTTAATGAGATGGTCTGCGCCAGACTTTACAAGACATGATGATCAAGCACAGGCATATTTACTAGATTTTGCAGGCGCAAATCATGCAAGCAGAAGTGTCCAATAGGAAAGCAGTATTCCACGCATGTCAAGTTAAAAAAAACAGTAGTGCTAGATCAAGCTCGATAGCGCAAACAGATTTCAAGAGTACACATTTTTAGATGAAGATAAATGTTCATTTAGATAAATTACTCAGCTTAACTAAACATTAATCTTGCAGGCGGAAGCGTTTAACCCTACTGCGGAGGAATTTAAGACAAAAAAATGTGTCAAGTGCATTATAATGGGCCCTATTTGTTTGCGAAGATCTCGAAGGAACTATGTTATTGAGTGAAACCGAGAATGATGATGTCCGTAACTGAGGTAGGCAAATATTTCATTTAAGATCACCTTTCGCAAATGCTCTACGCAATCTGTAATTTCTGCAATTTTTACAACTGACAATACTGATGAAGTCGGAAAGTCTCACGTCCTACTGTCTTCTCTTTTTAAAAAGGAATTGATCTCGCCAAGTATTGTGTAACTAAAACGTTTTATGTGCTTCGTATAAGTTGTCGATTTTTCTGATTTAGCGGAATGAGGTTTTATATTCTAATCACACTGAAACGATTATAAAATATTTTGTAAGTAATCTGAATAACCACAAAACACAGAATAGGAGCGGGCATCTCCTTTATTGATGAAGAGAGCGTAGAGCGTTTCAGAAAACAGAGTTACAGTTTTACAAACTCAGGGAAAATTACAACAAAATTTAGGGTTGAAAGAGTTGCCTCGAATGGCTCTTGCATAGCTTAACAAACCTTAAATAGTGTCCTAGCCCCTCGAGACACCTTACAAGCACATCTTAAATACTTCTGCAATATTATGCAACCTAATATACTTACTCTTGTGAAACTAACAAAACGTTACAAAATATATGTTTTCGCACCCCTTTCGAATAATCAATATGGATGTATGGGGATATTTGGAGTGAGTTACCAACTGATACAACCAAGAATAACATAAAATTAGTGAAATGATCACTGCCAAAGGTTATTAACGGTTGCAAAGAAACTTGTAAAACGGTTGCAAAGAAACTTTTCAATTTATTCAAGACCGACATTGGTTACTACGAAAGATTCTTCCGACTGCCGGCGTAACAACGTAATTATTCTGGTTAAGTTAATCAGCGAATAAGGCATGTCGAAGTTTACTTAATTTCGTTTCCAAAACCAGATAAAAAATAATTCAGCGGCTAGGCAGAAAAGGGAGAAAGACTTTCAAAAGATGTGGTAAAACATACCCAGTATCCGCCACTGTTTGTCATCCAAAGAGTCCAATTTGATAGGCACTCCGTTGCAGGTTATCTAGAAAGCAAATGTTAATGCTGGGTTAATTCCTCTTTATAAGATGAGTCAAGATGAACCAAGAAGAAAAATACCAAATTCATTTCTGTTCATAAAATAACTATACCAAGAGATAAACAGCATGCACCACCTTGAAGTAAAGCCCAAAAACCATCATTAATGCGCACACTTTCGAGTTTAATCCAGGGCCCTGAAAGTGACCACTTTGTAAAGCGTATACAGTACAAAAACAGTATAATGCTGGTTTGCACGTGACATCACGGCGGCCATAGCATGTTAGTGATCAAGAACAAAAGCATCTCTCTCTGGGAACTAAACGCTGTTTTCATGTAAATTCCTTGAGAAAAAATTCTATTGTTTTGACCCAAAAATAGGCATGGCCGCCTTGTCACGTGGTTGCAATCCAAGAATTACTAAATAGCGTCATTTGAAGGGGTTCTAAACACAAACAAAAGCCTTGGAGCCATATTGTACAGCATTACTTATCAACAGCTCGTTAGCGTTTATTTGAATTCGAAGGTAGCACTTTAGAATTTCACCCAGAACAACATAATAAACAGGAGCACCCAACGAAAATATAGTTCAAAACCACTTAAACATAGCATTGTTAAACGTATTTTAGTATTTTAACGGTAGATATAGGCATATTTTTATCCCCTAAAAATTTTTCATCTCTTCGGATTTCCTAGCTGAAAGTCTCGAGATCCGAAAATCATAGGGATTAAAACTTACCTTTTCGAAAATTTTAGCCAGAAAAAAGGCTCCCGAAAATTCTAGGTGAGCTTTTTAGGGTAAAAATCCGTTAAAAATGGGCAATTACACCAATTTTTAGATGTTCGAAAATCCTATATAGGAGAGGTAGGCAAGCAAGAAATTTTACAAAAAATGTTCCGAAAATTCTAGATCTCAAATCGTCTTCCGAACAGATATTTTCCGAAAATTGACGTTGGGTGCCCCTGAATAAACAGTACCACAGGAAATAAGTATTGCTCGCGTTCTCTCGCTCAGTAACTTCTACTCAGTAAAAGAGTAACTCAATTAAATGGTCACATTTTAGATTTTCATTCAGATGGAAAAGTTAGAATCACCTTGTACAGCACGCTAAACAGTACCACAGGAAAGTACTGCTCAGTAGCTTTCATTTGAATGATTATTAGAGATTTCATCCGCAAATTCAATATTTAGAACCACGTTGAATGGCCAGCGTCGTCGACAAAACCTGGATCGGATAAACCCATGTATAGAGGGTTTTCAAATGACGTAACTGCGGCCATTTTGGTGTTCCAAAGCGCGCAATGAAACGTCGGCCTGCTGGTGTTTCAATTCAATCCTGTGGTAGTTGAATTCTTTTCTCGCTTTCTCTTGTTTCAGTAAATTTGCTTAGATGCTGCCCACCTGAGTGAAAACGCTCTGTACACTATCCCTTACCTTTTGCTATTAATTGACTTAAAGGGGTTAAACACAGCCTGGGTTTAATCCCTTTAAGTCATAAAACACCAAAAGGTTAAGGATAGTGTAAAGAACGTTTTCATTTGTTGTGCTCTAACATTGAGTACCAAAGGAAAGTACTGTTAGGCAGCTGTGTAATTTTTAGTCGGTACTCATTGATTCACCATAACATAGGGTAACACACATGAGCCAGCTAGAATGACTGAAAGGCGCACAAAAAACACTATTTCATCAGCCCTTCTTACACGTTAGAAAACTTAACCCTTTAAGCCCCAATATCCACATACAAATTCTCCAAACTGATCTCTATACATTTCCTTCAAGAATAAGATGAGAGAATTTGATAAAAGATCAAGGCATTTTCCCTTAGGTGATCATTTTATTAATTCTCATAACCTAATCTCTTGACATTGTATGGATATCGTTAGGAGAAAATTGACGTTAGACTCTATTGGGACTTAAAGGGTTAATACAACAACAGAAATAGATATCTTGGCATTAACAATAACGATAATGTTTAGTCAAAGAGACTGGTTTTAATTAATGTTTTCGTCTGCAGGTAAACTGTGGATTTCCAAGCTATCCAGTGCGGTCACTTACCTCAATGACTGAGTTGGGTGTAAACCTTTATCATCTGCCTATCAACAGGGCAACGAAGGATGCTGAATGGCTCAATCTATCACAATCAGTGCATCCTGGATATTAAACAGTAAGAACAGACAATATTGAGCGATACACAATAGACAAGCTAGTTCAGCTAGCATACAGGTGCTTAGTTAGCATGAATGTGGACAATCAATAACTTTCGCAAATCAAATTAGGCCACAGTAGGCATGGATCTCTATGTTGAGACTCATTTAAAGAATATGTCGCAAAATGGTATTCGCAATTCTCAAAACATAACTTTATAGGATAACACTGTTTGTCTAATTATGACTGAGTGGACGTTCGTAGGTATGTAGGTAAGAAGAAAACCATAAGTATCTTTTACTAACTGTATATGTCAAAAGTCATTTGCCGTCCTTACGAACACTAAGCAAGTTTATCAATAGCGGGAAATCGATTGAGAATTTCAAATATGTTTCTGCGAGAGGAGAAAATACTTATTCAATATTGCACGTAATGGTTCGTAAAGTACATGAATAAGTTGGGGAAAAAAGGGTTTTTTAGTAGTTTTCGGCCTTTAAACAAGAATTCTTGCAGAAGTGAGAAACACTATGCTTAATTAGCCTTTTATACCCCTGGTTTCAGTTTGTTCAACGCCCAGATTCCTGCCATAGATTTCTTGACATCTACTTTAAGGCCATAAGTTTGTTTTTTTTTTCTCCACACTAATTCTATTCTCCAAAAAAAAGCGTAAGAATTATTAAGTTTTATAGTGATCGTTCGTTTTCTATCTATTTGTTTTGTTCACATATCTCCAAGCTATGAAGTGTTAATAGCGTGCTAAAAAGCCGTTTTGTTTGCCTTTTCTAATCTGGTGACGCGGTTACTAAGCTGTGTTTGTTTAGAGGGGCGGAAACTAAGCCTAAAATACTCTCTCGGGACAGTTTTCTCGCTTCGTCCGAAAAGCCTGCAACTTCTTTTCCACTGAAAGAAAAACAAGGGGAAATAAACTAAAGTAGTCAGATTTAGTGCTTCTGATTCTAATTTTCGGACAGAGACAGCAAAAGCCAGAACCAAAGAACAAAAGGCTACTTCACTGTAAGTAAGTTTATTTTTTATCCGACACACGATCTCAGAAATTTGTACACTAAACACACAACTGACCAATTTTTCACAGCACACTTTAGCTAGCTCAGCGTAATCATCTTCCCATACTGGTAACGGTTCCGTGTTATCTCCTTATTCGGAACAGGAAGAGTCGGCGTCTTTCTCCACGTGTCATAGTACTTTGACACATCAATTTAGGAGTATAATTAATTATGTATTTATTAGATCAATTTCAAGTTCTCGAGACAACAAGGAGCCAAAATTCTACTCTGGTCTAACGCAGAAGTTCCGGTTCTCTTGTTTTATAATGATCGTAAATTGTTCACCCTGAATTGACTTGAAGATATTCGATATTTTTCTAGGAAGGCATGGCAATATTATGCTCATTTTTTTGTCAAATTCGATTTTTAGTTTTAGATTTACTAAAGCATATTGCTTCGCCCACTTTTGCCCACTTGGATAACTAGCAAACAGTCTGCAGCAAAAAAAAAAACAATCTTTTTCTCTTATCATGGCCATTCAGTTGAACCATATGAGACTCAAGTTTGTATTGTTTGTAGAAGAAATGTCTTCAGCTATTCACACACAGGAAATAGAGATAAGCCTGGAAAATCTTCCTTGGTAATTTGCTGATAGATGCATCTCTCGATGACTGCGGTCTTTAATAGGGGAGTGAAGACCTTTACCCCAATAAAATGGACACCACCTTCCAGCAAAAAATAAATAAATAAATATCAAAAAAACCTTCTCTAGGTTTGGTGGCTTAGACGTAGAAAAAAATGTAAGCAGTAATAAGATTCTGAAAAATTGATTTTTCATCCATCGACCAAAAATTCGTTACCTTACTTTCACAAGATGCAACGCAAGCAGTCATAATTACTCAGGAATGCAGGCAATTTTTTACATGTAATTCAGGGTATTTTATCCAGGCGTCAAACTGAGGGACTTGTGTCTGACATGGGAGATAGGTCAGCGTAACTTCGTTCATTCATATTATGTTACAATCCCTTTCGAAGGTACTAACACAATTTTTAGTTTGCAAATAGGGTTCTGATTTTCACGCCTATGGCTAAAATCCTAAGCGTTGTCACTCAAATGAAAGCTACTGAGCAGTACTTTCATGTGGTACTGTTTATAATGTTGTACAAAGTGTTAAACTATTAAGTCTGCGGATGAAATCCTAAATTGTGACCATTCAAATGAAAGCTGACAAGCAGTACTTTTCTGTGTCGTAGTATTGCTTATTGTGCTGTTCAAAGTGGGCTTAACTCTTGACTTTGTACAAACATTCAATTTGATAATTTTCTTCTGATGTTCCTAACTACAAGATTTAAACAAAGCTGTTTTGTTGTTGTGTTATTGCTTTAGGGTCACGTGGCTCCAAGTCCAAAATAAGAGCAATGAAAGTTTCACCTGTTAGATACAGAACTATAGGTTTTGCGTTTGAGAGATAGTTTCCGTCAACAAACACCAATTATTCACTATAATTTGAAAATGAACATATACGATAAACAGGAACCAGTGCCTTTTGAAAGGCTGCTGACTTTTTTTTAGCTCAGAATCGATAAAAAAAAAACATGCATTAGTTCTATTAATCATGACATCAGGGTGATTTATGATTTTTCGGCTTTTTTGGTCCTAAATTGCCCGCTGTCCGGGATGAACGTGAAAAAAGACAGCTGCTTCGCAAAAGAGCAACTGCTCTTGCTCATAGAACTGACAAGCAGGGAAGTTTCCAAGTTTCTCGCCTTGCCAGAAACTTCTGGACTTCTAGCAGACGCAGCTCTTCAAAATGGCGACCATGGTTAGATAAAGTGGTTATTTTTCATGGATTTCTATTCAGTTTAACATAGAAACGCCAAGCAGAAAACTCTTACAACTATGCCGTAGCTTGATTCAAAACTGGCCTTTACAAAGTAAGCAAATACCCTGCTTAATGTTACGAACTATCTGTATACATAAACCACCAACAGATCATAATTGCAATTCTGGTCTTCAGTGTTCGCTCCCATTGGTAATACATGCCAACTCACGGTATGGCTCTAGCTTCTGACGGTCTCAAAATAAGATCCTCAATAAAATGGAAGGTTTTAAATTATTACACAGTAAAATTTGTGAGCTCAAGATTGTTTTCACCACAAGATAGGTCACGTTGATTTTTATTCAATAGAGGAAGGAATAGGACAGCCAGTTATGGACGACTATATGTGTACTACAGTCTGTGTCAGGATGTGCCGATTAATAAATTTATGTTAAGATGTTTTAACTCAGTTAAGCAAAATTTGAGACTTTGATGCATTATGGGCGGAAAGTTTAGTTCGTTTTTGCGTGGTAATTCGTCTGTGTTGCTTTATTAGACTGAGGTGCTCAGGTTGAGCGAGGACTCCACTAAGGGCCACAATTAACCTCCATTCCTAAGCTGTAACATTACGTATAGCTATATTGTAACAAAAAAAAAAAAAAAACAATTAAAAAAGTTACCAGTCGCTTGACTTTATTAAAACGGGCTTTTATGTAGGCATTTGGAAAGCGAGTCATTGCGATGAATATGGGTAACTGTAGAAAATAACCCAACGCAAATCAGAGTACTTGGCGAGTTGATATTGTCACTGTCGAGCGCTCGAAAGCAAAAGGAGTGAGTTTTACAACAACTGATATCTAATTCTGCAAAAGTGTTAGTTATTACAGCAGAACAAAGTAAAAAACGAGTAGATCAGTGTTGCTTTTTACTGATACCCTATTTCAATAGCGAGTAGCTAAATAATCTGTCATAATGCAATGGCGGACGGGGTCGTGTTCCCAGTTTGCTGCAGAGTTTAGCTAGCCACAGCCTTTCAATTACTGCTTTCAACTGTAGTTTAAAAAATACATGGAAAGGTGTGATTATAGTTAAGTTACAACGCAAGAAATATTTCTTTTGAGTTAATCAAGAGAAGTGTTCATGTAGGAACCCAAAACTTCAACTCAAACCAGTTTGGTGCAGCTTTTAGGATAAATAGTTTGATGTATTGCAAAGAAGAGGTAGTCTATTAGTTTCGTATAGAGCAGCATTTCCTGGTTCAATTAGGAATTTTGAAACTGCAGAATGCAGAGAAACTATAACTTTGGGGTTTCTCTTAAGCGTTCGTGTCAGACAACTCTTTGTTATGCATACATGCACATTTACACACAGCGAAAAACCTCAAACATTTGTGGTCGATCAGGCTACGAACTTTGAAGCAGTAACCAAGGGTACACAAGAATTTGTAACAATTGTACGTTTACTGTAAATTGGTTTAGACTGGGTAAGTCTCACGGCTTCCCTTTACAAAACAGGCCACTGATGTCAACTTTTTTGATTTATGACTATTTTGACCTGATAGAGCTAACCTTTCTAAACATATACAACACCTTTATTTGTATGTTGTAGAAGCTTGTAAATTAAGCAGTTTAGTTAGGGTAGAACATTTATTCAATTGTTTCATTTAACATTTAAAGAGGAAGACTTTGTAAGACAAGAATCAGTGGAATAAACATGGTATGGTTGTAACTGTTGTCTGTCTGTGATTGTGTAAGCTACAGCACCCTGCATTCCCTAAATTAGCAGGGAGCTTTTTCTATTTCAGCTTCCCCTTGCCTTTTCATTTTAATTTATTTTATAATTGCCCTTGAAATCTAAAGAAACGACTTAGTTCTGTTAAGGATTTGTGATTAAATATCACTGCGTTCGGAAAAACTCAAATCTCTCTTAGTAGACAAGACGACGACCTTTCGATTCCAAGTGATTTATTAATTGCGAAGCTCTCAGACGAGCTTACATTAAAAGCATTTAATTTGCAAGTTCATTTTAAAATCTATAAGGAAATTGCTGTTCAAGGATAAGCGGAAACAGCCTGCAAACAAAGTGTCAGTGATAAATAAACTGACGAAACCGTGGAACCTGCATCTGGAAATTCAACATGTCGAGCGCTTTTTTTTTCACTCCGCGCGTTTTGTCTGACTATTAAAGCATGAGGTTATTTTGTCCACAAAATATTATTTTTTCGGTAAAAATGATTATTTAAGATTACACAAATGAAATAATATTTTATCAACCAGTGTTCCGATTTGCGAAATGCTTTGCGAAAAACGGATACAACTCAACGTGCATTATCTCAGCGTTCTTCGCAAACACTACCAGTGTTCCCTCTCGAATCGTCACGCTTAGTAATGCTACTTCAAGTACACAACTCGAGCCGTGGAGAGGTCTTTTAGCCTCTGTCATTTTAGCGGTAAAACTAGGTCTGTACAAACGATGGAAATGCCAAAAGGAAGGGCGCCACACAGAGAGATGCCAGAATGCGACAAAAATACCTCGTGCTCTGACATAACATTTTGCATTGAGAACTGAAAACAAATGAAGAAGTCAAAATTTGTCAAAAGTATCCTTTATTTCCAACAAAACATTTATTGTCTTTGGGGCAACAAAGCCAATTTTAATGTACAAAAATGAACAAACTGATTACATTTGAAGACAGGGGGCGGTTTAGTTGCCGATGCGTTGGAATGTGACTAACAAGATAGCGGGAAGCGAAGGTGCAATTTTCTCAGTTTTGACTCTCTTCAGCCACAGAAGGAGTCTCTTTGTCATACTCCGTAGAGAAACATCATTTCTCAGTTATCTTAACTCATGAAATAGCTGGCTCTTCGATTGCATGAATAACGATTGAATATTTGTACAATTAACGCCACCAGGTTGGCGACGAGCGAAAAGTGTGTTCAATAAATAACGTTTTATGTTTAGGAACTCTGGCGGAGGGGAGAGCATCTCGCTACAAGTTTTACACCTTTCACAAAGAAAAGGAAATTTGGTGTCGATTAGCTTTTTCAGAAGGATTAGTAGCGGATTAGAACTGGTAAAAAGGCGGAAAGGCAGTGATCTGCTCTAACAAGAGTTCCCTCCATTAAATAAACGCGTTAATGTACAGGTTTTTGACAATTAACTGGCATACCACAACGTCCGAAGATGATTGATTCAGACTCTTTCATTCAACGTAAGATTCCCTTTTCTTCTTTCAAAAGATTTCCTTTTCTGATTAAGGTTTCACATCGCGCTACAAGTGGACGCTTTCCTTGTGTCCTGTTTGGTGCATTGGTGGAGAATGACAAAGCGGGGAACACGCCATGTGAAGATGACCGCATTCGTGCGTTCCTCGCACATCATTGAAATGTTCTTTAGTGTTCCCCGAAGAATCGCTCAGTTTCTCATCCTTTTTCCATTTCATCCGGCGGTTTTGGAACCAGATCTTGACTTGCCGTTCAGAAAGACTAAGAGTCTTCGCAATCTCGCTCCTTCGAGAACTGCACAGGTACTTGTTAAAATGGAACTCTTTTTCCAGCTCTAAAAGCTGTTTGTTTGTGTAGCTTGTCCGATGTCTTTTGGCTTGTTTCTGCCCTGTGTATTGTAAAAAAGTTATCATTTCAGACATTAACAGAGAACAAAGGTCCTTTTGACTCATATTTTCCCTTCACTAAAACATGTTCGTGATCATCTGCGGTATTGTTAAAACTGTCTATCCTAGAAGAGGAAAATCTCTGCGAACACCGACAAACGGACCCAGTTCGGGAAGCGGATTTAAAACTGAAGTCTTACTTTTTTTGAAGTGATCATTTTCCGGGTCGGTTCTTGACAGACTTGGGCAACGGTTCAAGCTTTGGTTTCGCGGTCTGAAGTCTTTTCATTTCGGTCGCTTAAATTCTTATGATGGACTTTGCATAAACAGAACTCGCCTTATTGGCAGGCCTTTTCAAATCCAAACAACCTTTTCGCCAATAGCAGCGTTCCAGGTTCCGCGCACTATCAACAATATGTTTGCAAACTAAAAATATTGCACTTTGCGATTGAATGACAAAACATGATCTTTTGTTGAACATGCATCTATTCTTACCCGAAGAAATGCAATGCTAAAGAGGGCTGCTCCATTAATCACAGTAGTAGACAAGTCACTCTCCAAACCCCCCGCCCTTCTGACAGAAAAACTTCTCAACGATAACAAATGGTCGCAACAAGGTTAACTAAAATCTCCAAAATGTCACTCAATCGTGCACAGCCGAATTAAAAAAAAGAGAGGGATTAACCTGTTGCGATAGTGTTTAACCAGCAAAACACTTTAAGCTGCCGAGTCGCGCTAAACATTTGCGGACAAACGTTCGCACCAAAAAAAGAAGGTTATCAAAGGGGTTAGCATACCGAATCCAAATGCAGCCTTTCCGCCTTTCTTAGATTTCATCCATGGATAAATTGGCTGGAGAAGATATTCTGGAATCTGTGTTGTCTGATGGGACGCAGAGGGCCTTGTATCTTCGATGCAAGAAGTTTGCCTTGAAGTTTGCGTGGCGCTGAAATTCTGGTGTGCCGATCTCCGGGTAGAAATATCCAAGAAGGGAAAATAGTTCCCCGTGAAGCTCACTTGCCGCTCGAATGACGGGGACAGCTGCGGAATATATTGCTGCGTGTAACTGTGTGTCTTATTGGGATAAAACGTTGGCTGAGCCATGTTTGTCGAATATGATTTATATGGCCCTGACATCTTAACCCTTAACAACACGAATTATGACAAATCGACTAGTGTAAGAGCTATTTACTGCTTCACGTGACCTGTTTCAGCCTATCAGACTCCAGTGCGGCAATGAGTTCATGACCCCAGCGTTTTCTCGAGTACTGCTTTTGTTGGGTTATTTTTCAAGTACAATTCACGATTCAAGAAGGTTTAAAAAGGGATGACCACAACTTAAAACAGTTGAAACATGCATACTGGACCAAGCCTTCCTACACTTAATGCCAGCACTCGCATGCTATGCTGTACAGAAAGTTTTCATTCAAGTCTAAAGACATCATTTTCTATAAGTTCTTCAATTACAATGTTGCCCCATTGCAAATTATTCCCATCCTTGTATGAAACTCAAGAAGCGGCGAACAAGTGTTGTGATAACCTGCAATAAATCTTGTGTGCAATTGAGTCATAAATCTCCGTCAGTCTGTTTGAATTATGTCTCCTCCGCAGGGTGCGCCGCACCGGGTCGCTAACGCTGCGTCCATTTCAGCACATTGCACAAACGGGATCACTTATCGCACCAAACAAACGCAGCCTCAATGGCGCAAACCCTTCGTTTATGTGGCATCACCCATTGACCTATGATTAATAGCCTGACAAAAGTTTTCCACTTTGCGCGCGGAAGCTAATGTTTTCAGCTTGCGTGTCGCAAGATATAAATATATAATATAAAGGTTGAATTCTGGCCAAGCCTTCTTTCGAAAGAAACCAGCAACAGACTGGCGCGTGTGATAGAACGTACAGCACTCATCGTAAGAAGTACGGGATAAAGAAAATGATTTCAATGTTAACCACTTTAGCGCATCACTTGTAAAAAATAGGATCACAAGGGGATTTTCATCAAAACAAAGCGCGCACTTGTGTTTTTTAATAAATAAGGAAATGTTCCTGTCTTCTTAAAGGAAGGTTAAAATCGGACGAACATCATTGTAAACTAGAGTGATGGCTCATAAACAACTGAGTCAAATAAGCTACAACAATTCCACTAAACTCAGTATAACTGAAATCTAGCTCAATCGCAATTTCTTTTAGTGATAATATCTGGATATATTTTTAATTGCAAAATCTGAGTTTTTGAAGGCTTTTAGTCCCCTTTTATAAGCTCCTTACCAAAGAAATGTCTCGCCAGAAGTCATTTTTGTGTGACTCGCTAATAAGGGTGCGGACCAATTTTGCCGATTTGGGGTGCAGGTTTGCTTTATTTTAGACACAATCAGAAGCAATTTTCACTTTCCTGTCAGACGATGTGTCTCGACATTGATTAATAGCCCACTAACAAGAAACCGAGAACCACGACTGTTTACTTATTAAATTAACAAATTGTTATAGTACTGGCCCTGGATACGCTGCGCGAGCGATGCGTCAACTTGTAACAAAGCCTCCTCTAAGAATTAACATGAATTTCAACAAGCCCCAAACGACACGGAATCCCTGGCACTTGTCTTTGGCAATCGCTGGTGCTTTTTATTCGTTTTATTTCAACGCTGATATTTTTACCTCGAAACGTTTTCAAGATACCCTGCTCAACCACCTTGCACAAGAAATCGAAAAGAACTCAACAGTAATATTTCGCTTGGAGATAAGAACAAAGCTGAAAGTTCCAATTAACCGGATCGATTCTAAACAAACGAACTCTAGCTTTGGACTGCAAATAGATTCCGATTATTTGCTCTTAATTAGTGTCGGCACTAAAACGGAAACCATGGCATTACCGTCTTCTCAATTAACATGTATTTCATCGTAATCTGCCCCGTGGATCCGAGCGCTTTGCAAATTGTATCAATCGACGAAAGTTTTAAGGATCATTTCAACATGGGCACAATGCTGTACCTATTTAGTCACTCCAGTTCTTATACTGGGGGGTATTCTCACGGTTCTTACTCATTTAAACGGAGCAGGATGTAACTATTACTTTGACCACGAAAGAAAATGCTATGCCGACCACACTGTCCTAGCTGAGTATGACCAAATCAAGGGTATAAATGGACCCTCTTGCTCTTGCTCTATAGATATCACTGATGTTCATCATGACAAATCGCAATTCGAGAAATGCAGCAAACGTTGTGTGATTGAACAGTTACACGTAACTATCGCAGATTCATGATGATGTCAACAAACATTTTTCCTTTAACGTCGAACAAGTTGGTTTCCTATCGGATCTTACCCGGGGGGTACCCAACAAAGTTTTCTTCCGGGATGCTCCGCCCAAAGGTGCGACCCCTTACCCTTTATACACCATTTTTGACAGAAAAGATGCCCCTTTCGTATACCTTCCACTGACAAATGATACCCCCCTTTCACATAGCTAGTTTAGGGGGCTGCACCCCTTTTAACCGCTCTAAAATTCACTGTCTTAAAAATATGAATAAGTCACTGAGCCAGGAACTTTTCTTGACTTTTTCACAGCCATAAATTCTTCTATTAGCCCTTTCAAGTGTTTTACAGACGGAAAGACAGATTTCCCTACCCTTTTATATACGTCTACAAGTGAAATCCCTACTCTTCAATACTCCTGAGGCCTACAAAAGGTACCCCTTTTGGACGGAGCCTCTCCTAATAGGCCATTATGGGGAGTACCCCCGGGCATGTGTCATACACCCACACTAGCTCTAACAAGGCGTATCTATTATAATAGCTGATGAGGTGATATTCGGTAAAGAAATATCAAAAAGCGTGTTTTTTTAAAAAAACACAAACGTTTCGGGTGTGTGACCCTTCTTTAGTATGAGGAAAACAGTTGTACAGTACTACGCAACACCAGACTTACAAATGACCGAATATCACCTCATCAGCTATCTTAGTACAAGTGTCACGCACCCCGGCGTTTTCCATTATAAAACTGCTTGTTTATCAGTAAACAAATACCTAAGATTATTGAGAATAATTTTAGTCTTTTTCGTGAAGTTCTTTCCGAAACGTTGACGTGTTTAGAAGACCATGTGTTTCCGGCCTCAACATCTTCTTAACTTTGCCGCATAAATAAACACGGTTTGAGACACGAACTCGTGGTTTTTAAGGGATGAAAGAACATTCAGAACATTCAAATCAAGGAAAAAATAACTGTGTACTGCTTTCCTCTGCGATCGACACATTTTTAACTACTGACTTTTCATCAAAGCTATTTTAAGGGATATTCGAAGATTGTCCGAGGGTCACGCGAAGGTTTCCGATAATTGTGCAAACATTTCCGATAAATTCCGAAGACGTCATAATGTAACCACGTCATTCGCATTGGCTTTGCCGACATACCTAAGGCTTCCGACGAAATGTTTCGTCAAATGTTCGTACGAAGTACCTCTGCGACGCTCAAAAGCCGGAAATATGAGCTAACGCCTTCGAATCTCAACGCAAATATGCTTGATAAATTCAAGAGGATAAAAATACTATTTTAAGTTCTCAAAAGGTCAAGCTAAAAATTTCAGAGAGCAAGTACCTTTTATTAACTTCTTACAAACTATATTTGAGCTTCCTTTTCCAGACAAAAAAGGATTTCAGTTGTATCTTCTGATGCTTTCGGCCTATTGACTTTTAGCTAAGACATTCAGACAACAATGAAATCTGAAAAGTTTATGCGTGATTTTCCTTCATAGGAAGAAACATAAGCATGGTTTCCTACGGCCTTTGGTATACATAATAACTCTTTGCGTGTCCTTGATGCTTTACTAAATTCGTATTACATATCAGTGACGTTATCAGCGGCCTACAAGCAAATTTTTGGCTTGCCGAGTAAGGGTGGGGATGGGTAAGGAAACAGGAAGAGCTTTCGTCCCCCGTCCCACCCCCAGAGAATATGCTTGAGGGTAATCCGACATCAAGACGAACATATTCTTCAAAATATATTTTACGAGTGTTGTGTTGAAGTACACTATTGGAGATTAGGGAGCTTAAGCAACGACGACGGCGACGGCAACGAGAACGGCAAAAAAGCAATAGAATTAGATAGGCAAAACAACAACTTTGCACGTGCATCACGCTTTTTTGTACATTTCTTAGCCGTCGTTGCACGCCTTCAACTTGAAAGTGCCGTTGTTATTGCTTAAGCTCCCTATTAAAGTACGATACTCCCTAAAAAAGTCCCATAGTGCAACTCGGCAAAACATCAACCCAGTCCCCCGCACAACCTCAAAAATGGTAAATATATGGCGCGATATTAAAAAGCTTCTTAATGCTCTAATAGATCTTCAAACTAGTCTCTCAACCTGAGGAAGGCAATAATGCTCAAAAGCCTATCAGCGTAGCTAGTAGACAAGAAAATGAAACAACCGCATCCGAATATCTTTAGTAATTGTGTCAATAATAAAATGTTTGAATCTGATTGGTTCTTAACAGCCTATATTTATATCTTTATTTTGCTTATTTTGCTATTGTAATTCCAAAACTGTCCGATTCAACATGTCCGATTAAACCTGTTCGATTAACAGGAGCTTTCTTATCGGACAGGTCCGAAAAAGGACAGCTAAATAGCCAATGAAAATCAAGTAGCAAATGCCACTAGCCAATGAAATTTAACTCCATAGCACATGATAACCAATCAAACTCAATGAAAAAATAATGACTAGGTAAGATGTCCAGCTTCAACTGCAAACGTTTTTGCCTTGGAATCTGTAAGCTGACGAGACAAGCTGTAATTTAATTCAATTACTTTTAAAGCTTCTCGCATTCTGTTCAAATATTCGCGCATTTTAATTTAAAAAATGTATTTTTTTTTTTAAAGAAGTTCATCATGCGGTCGGTTTGGTTTCATCCAAAGTTGTAGCCGATCATGTTTTTGCTTTGGAAACTTTCTCTTGCATTAATAAACATTGCAAGACTGAGATTCTCGCATTTTGTTATTGACTCAATTAATTAGTAATAAGACTTCGTGTCGTACAATTCAGAGGTAATCAGTCCCGATTACTCCCTGAATTGTATTCCACTTAGTCCCATTACCAATACAAATCGCTCCATGTAAGGTAATCGAAGACAGTCTTGGACAC